GCACCTTCACGTGAAAAACCGTAAATCTAAAAATGTGACGTATTTTAATTATTCTATTCTTTTTTTTTCTGCTGGGATTCCATTTATTTGTGTAAGCCAAAGACTATATATTTGCCTTTAACAATTTAATGTGCTATTTCAAATAGTATATCTTTCAGTGAATTTAAAATGTAAAATTTTTGAGTTGCATTAAATGTGAATTAGGCTTCAGACATTAGCGTGCATGAATCGACTTATAAAAGGTGTTCGAGCTAGTGAGTATGTAAACCGAAAGATTAGCAGGAAACAAGTTTTCATGGACAGTCGCGATTATTTTCACTAATTTGATTACTTTTTGCACTATGTCTTCGCACTTTGTCTGTTTTGCGTTAAATGTACGTTTCCCTGAGCTGTGGGTGAGCAGGTAAATATGCAAACTACATTTGCAGCAATTTTACAGTTTTTGAAATGTAATGGACTGCATTGCGATAAGGACAAATCAAGTCAAAGTTTATCAAATGCACAACAGTATAGCATGCAGCACTAGATGCAAAACATGAAATGAATTCTCATTAAACTGCTTTTGTCAATTGAATTCCATTCTATTAATGGGCAAGTCATCTGCGATGCCGACATGATATTGACAGTATGATGTCTTCATTTTGAGTTTTACGTGCTACAGTACCTCCTGACTGCTCTGCCACGACGCCTCATGATTGTGCATTTCCTATTATAGATGCACATGTTTAAGCTTGAGGGCAAAGATGTGAGTTTGTCCCTGATAGATAGTCACACAGACCACTTTTTTCAGGGTGTTTCGTAGAGTTGACGGAATTCCTGCACACTTTTTAAGATTCATCTTTATTATCATTGCACAAAGCACAAGTACTCTGACAGCGTAATGCAGATTGGCATGTCATCTGAAAGTGCAAAAGTACAAGAATAAGCTGGGCAATATATACATGTGATAAATTGTTGCAAAATGTACTTCTGAACATTTTGTGTTTCGGCCCCCAAATATAACATTCTGTTGTGCCCATGCCTCATCCTGTTCAAAATTCCTCATCTTGGTTTTTTATTTACCGCAAGTTTATTTGCATTGACCATTAAGGTTATTTGTGTGTGGCAACTGGACAGGATCTCAGGCTCGTGCACGTATGCACATTTACAAGATAGTTCTGACATTTCTGAGGGGAAATGTGCGGATAAATCCAAATATTTTTGTGCATATGCATTTCTTCACAATGCCGTTTACAAATGTCTGTTTAGCTTTGTTTGCATGGGGATTTAATATCTTGGAGAAGTGAGGCCCGTTCTCTCTCAGCACTGGATGTGCAGGTGTTCCCGGTAGAACTTGAGTCCTCCACTAGGAGGTGCTGCTGTTGTTCTGAGGTCCTTCTCATAGAAATAGTCTTCTACATAAGGTCCTCAAAGTACAGAGCTGATACAAAATAATTGTTTTAAATGCCTGATGGTGGTGCTGTGTCCCCTCGAGTCACTGTCAGCGTTCTGATTCTCCTTTTCCCTTCGCCTCTCCAGACAGCACTACAAAGAACGTCTGAATGTCCCCCTCAAAGCAGGGATTGGGTATCAGTCACATGACGACACCTCGAGCAAAAGTGGATCCACGACGAAGAACATGTACACGGTTTGAGGAGAGCCCCTTTGGCTCCGCTGTAGGTTTAAAAATTACCCATCTCATCATATTAATACCTTTTGAGTTGACTACTGTAGTGTTCTCCTTTTAAAAAAAGTAACATTTCACAGTCCAGCAGCTACCAACATCAGTGGACTGATCACGGAATGTCAGTTGTCTGCTTACATGCTGGCAGATAGTAAAAAGTATTGAGCGAGAGTGTATGAACCAATAACTCTGAAGGACATGCAGGCTGGCTTTTGAGCACCGTCCATGAAAAGCCTTGGGCTTTAATAAAAGACACATTTCTCAGCTTCCGCTTTTCTTGATCTCTGGCCGCAGTAGCTTGACGTGAGACGCAGCAGCGACGGCTGCGGCCCAAGGGGCAAATTCAGCAGCAGCTCCCTGGAGAAATTACTTTAGTTAACGTCACCAAGAGTGTTGTGCTCCGCTAAGATTTTTTTGTTTGTTTTTTTTTTTTTTGGCTTGTAGAACGTTTGAATGGCCGGTTTTCATATTTATGAGAAGTATTGCAGTTGAATTATACATCTTGAGGATGAGGATGTACCCAGTCTGTTTCTGGAGGAGGTTTGTGGTGTGGAGCGTGCTCAGTGTGCTGCACTGTGCTGTACTGGACATCCATGCCCCCCCCCCAGCTTCGATCAACATTTCCCACTGCTGTCCTCCTAACAATACTGGCGGTGTTTGCTATATTTCACACTACTTCTTGGTTAATGCAGATAGACTCCTCATTGTGAACTGATTTTTGCTCTTAATGTGTCTTTATTATCTGTAATTCCAGGATGTATATGAGATTCTTTGAAATAAAAGTTAAGTGCTTTGCATTTCTGCCATATCCAGGCAGTCGTCTCTGTGTGCGATCATCGCTCTTGGTGTGTGAAAGGTCGTTTCCAAAGACTGCGGGTTCTTTCTTGGCTTGTCACGGCTTCTCAATCAGCTCTCAGGTGTGAACGAATTGCTGATTAATCCGTAGGCGTACAAACACATGGCCGTCCCAGGCATTGTGGGGAAAAAGTTGTTAACGAGCTTTGTGTTTCTGTTATCCTGGGGCTGCAGAAAGGGAAAGGCAACCTGTGTGTCAGCCTCTTACACTCCAGCGATCACACCCTGAGTCAGAGCTGGCTGGAATCTGCTGTCAGCTCTCAAAGCAGCACCTGCCATGTCCTTGCACACAGTTACGCACCTTTAGTATTTTACATTGAAGTATTTGTAAAGCTTTTGCATTACATCTGTTCTACAAATGTAATGATGGGTTAATGCTCTCAATGTCTTGTCCAGTTAAGGATCTGTTCTTATTAAACAAATTGAAATCCGCAAAAGCAGCCCTCTGGAGAATGAGTTTCACTTTTCCCAGTAAACGCTAGTGGCAGAATCAAAGGGTCTAAGATTTATTTTTTCTGGGATCTTTTCAAATGCTTGTGGAGTTGAGTGATTTTAGAGAGCAGTGATACTTAAGCCAACACCAGCGACAACTGTGTCTTCCAAGAAATATGCTGAGAAATATAGTCGTCAAAAATCTGTGGCCAGAGCGAGCAAAGTACTAATTCATATAATGTATTGTTTACAGTACATTGTGTGATAATAAGAACAAACAGGAGGTAGTTGCTGAAAACGCCAGCTGCCTCCTATGCAGATTTGGCACAAAATGTCTGCAGGCTCCTGTTGTATGGCACCAGTAACTTTTGTTGCATTTCCACAATTAAACACTGAAAAACGTTTTTAGCTGGCTGATCACCAATGACCGTCTCTCCAAATAAGCCTAAGGTCGAGTAACTGGGGTTGTGTGTTAGCTGATTATAGTCTTGGAAGGTTGTTAACTGATTGTGAAGTTTCACACAGTACACTTCATACTTAAGAAGAACTGTGTTCTGTGTCTTCGACTGAGCATTTATTGTGCTTACGCCGTATTTCCATGGTTGTGCATCAGCTGACCTGAGTTGGCACGTTCAGCACTGCGCATTGTGTGTTAGGCTGTCAAAGGAAAGGTTTAAGGCAATTTTACTTATCTAGGTAGCAAGTGTATATTTGCTCAGAACAAAAAACACAATTTAACCTTAAAACATATGCAAAGTAAGAGTAACACAATAACAAGTAATAAAAATTTCCTTTGTTATCCAAAAATTACTGATATATTGAATGGGTAGATGAACACCACTTAAATTCCCAAACTCCTCTGCTCAGGGGCACCTCAGCCATTCCAAGTTTTCATTACAACTTTCAGCCAGTTCACTTAATTAGTAAAAAACAAAAAAAAGTCAGTGATTATTGATTAATCATGCAAGGTGTGCTGGTGGAATCAAAAAATACAGTGATGTATTGGCTAGTTGCTGTAAATATTTGACTTTATGAAAAGTTTTGAAATGTTTAAGCAAACACACTTTTACAGGCATCATAGTTTTACACCAACATGAAGATTATTTAAACAAAATTATTTGTTCACTGTACTGTATTTGTGTGAGAGTTTAATAAATAAATAATAAACTCATGACACTTTTAGGAAAATCACTCACCTGTTGATGGGATAGGTCCCTATTTTGGTTTTTACATTACACGGGGACTCATTTAAAAAGTTAGTTTCCAAACCAAATTTGGGGAATAGCAGGTTTATTCACATATGGGCACACCTTTGCTCACGGTTTGGAGTTACTTAATGAAATGTATGCAAATGGCTATAGTGTGGCGTAGCGTGAAGGAGGTTGCCTTTAAAAGCAGGAAGTTCTCACCTTTCAGCTTGATTGTTGGCCAATGTTTAAGTCATTGTGATTGGATGAAAAAGTCACTGCTGGCCTATGGTTGACCTGTGTACCCAACCCCACGGTAGTCTGTCTGCATTTGTGGACTCCCTGGAATGTTCATTCTTCCTGGCCTTAAGGTCCCGATCATACGTACATGTGACCTCACCGGCTATCCTTGCACGGTCCCGGAAAGGCGGTCACCTAAATAAGCTCCCTTGGGGCCAGTATTGAAACCTCATGAGCCCTTTTAGCAATTAGTAAGTAGTCTGTTGCCAAGCTCCGTATAGCTAAGCTGGGCAGGTCTGGTCTGGCTTGTGGGTGCAGGTCTGGTCTGGCTTGTCTTCTTGACGTTTTGTGATGCCAAGGCTGCAATTGCGTGACGCACGACAAGCCGGCGGGCTGCAATTCGCCACAGTCGTCACATAAATATGGCTGCTCCCTTGCTGTTCTGCCTAAAAGTACCTTACAGGTCAGGTAATTCCAGTAGAGTCTTGGCTCTCCTCGCCGCGGGATCCCAGGACGGCCTGGGCCATTACGCTCACCATGCCAGGGGTCTGTGCTCCCTGTCACCGCGAGACACCAGCTCCTTCAGCTCGGTGAATGTTTGTTTAGCAGGCAGCAGGACACAGTTTGCTGATTAATTGCATTACAAAAGGTTTAATAATAAATCACTTGCCATTCCCATTTATCTCCCCAGTACTCCAGTTCAAATTGTACAATGAAAATTTTCAAGTATTGGAAGCATAAGTGCTGAAGGAGATCATTAAACATAAAATTGCACATAATAAACAGTGACATTAGTGAATTATGGGGTGTCGTCTTTATCTGGTCTGAGGGTCATATCCATCACAGCCACGGTATAACATAATACATCATAAGTTCATAAATAAATCAGATAAAAATCACTGCTTCATTGAAAAATATATAATCTAAATATATAACACATTTGTTCTTTTTTGCATTCCTCAGAGAAAGGCCTGGAGACACTCAGGTTTTTTATGCTTGGTCTGGTGCTACCACTCAAACAGCTTTAGCATCTGTTTCCAATCAATATCACATTTGCATAAACAGGGACTTAAAGTAATCAGCATTAAAAGGTGACTGATTCAATAAAAATAAGTTACATTGTAAGTTTAAGTAATAAGACACTTGAGAGATGAATCTTCAGTGTTGAGGTATTGTTCTGCCTTCTGGTTGGCTGCTACTGTTACAGAAATGTAGGTTTTAAGAGCAATGCCAGCGTTGGCTCTCAAAGTCTCCTAAAGGCTGTCTCTGAAGGCATAACGGGACAAATGGTCATGGTGATCAGTTTGCTATCTATCTAGTGGTAGGTCCAAGCTTCCCTGTGAAAAGCTGATTTCGATGATCCGGAGAAGTTCCGCCTGAGGTAAAGGGTAACAAAAGCGCATGGTTATCTCACTAAAATGTGAAGGCCTTCCCTGTCACGGTCTGGCGCATACTGATGTAATAAAATCAGAGTCTCGTCTTGGGAAGGTCATCAGGACATAATGAGGGACTTCTCCTCTTCTTCTGTATTAATCAGCGAAGACAACATGGATGATGAGAAGACGTAGAACTCAAATACAAAACTCAGTTCGAAAAGTTCCAGGTTCATACTAAGGATCCACTCAAAGACAGCCGACAGGTGCTTCAACAGGTACGGCTCTTGGGCAAAGAAGATGCAGTCTGGTTGGATTTAATTAAGGCTAATAATGCATAATATAGAAGGACACATCAAACTCTGGAGGTACTAGAAGTCCCTAGAAACAACTACTTTTGTCCTAGTCAGAAACCAGCCAGATATGCCACTATTTCAGGAACAAACACATTTTAAGGCCACAGGTGGTTTGGAGTCGACACTCAAAGGATACAAAAGAGAGTAACGAGGACCTGGAGGGCAGTGGACAGGGCGCGAACGGGGTAAAGGACTTTCTCCTTGCCCGTGAGCAAACAGTTACCCGTCAGCATTGTCAGCAGGAGGCAGTAGAAGCAGATGCAAATGAAGCTGACCGCTGCCCCCAGGTAGTGTAGCAGCACCAGGTATCCAGGCTGGAGCAGAGGACGCAGTGTTGTTCAGTCAGCGAGCACTGCTGCACACTCCTGCCTCCCAGGCAGAGACCTACGGCTCTCTCCACTTACGCAAAAGTTTTTTCTGCAGCAGCAGTTTGCAACTACTTATGATCATTGCCAGGAGATGCAGGCTGATGGTAGGTGGATGGATGGATGCAGGGGTGTAGGTTTGATTTCAACACTGGTAGGGACTAAATCAGCCCCAAACACACACAGTACTTCAACAATATTGGTAGGGACACATCCCTACTGTTGATACCCAAATTTATGCCCATGGATGGGTGGATACACACCATGGTGCAGGGTCCATCAGGAACACTGAGTGTATCTTACAGGTATATCAGTGAGCAGCATATTACCTGCTGCTTGTCCTGATCCAGGTCCCCTTACGTGTGCCTGAGCCATGCTGATATCAACTGTGAGGCTGGTATTCGATAGCAGAGCTTACAGGCAGAAGGCGTACTTACGTTGCAGTTTCCAGCCACAAAGGCACCAATGGATGCTACACAGCCAAAGCCCAAAGCCAGCCGGCTCAGGACAGCCTGAGTACTGCACTTGTTCAGAATGTGGGCATGGTGGAAGACACAGAAGACCAGGACTGGAGAAAGAGAGGACATCGGGCATATAGGCTTGGCCATGTCACATAACATTACCCAATCAGGTGCTTCACCTGTCATTAAAATGCACTTACACAAGAAGGAGCCTGCACTGATGGTGGCTGTAAACAAGGAGTTCTCTGGGATACCTTTCCCACTTGTGCTGCAAGCAGGGAATGACAGTGGTTAGAAGGAGCAGGGGGGACACAGACTGGCGGGACACAGACTGGCTTTCTGTGTGAGTGCACGGCGTCTCTGGTGCCAGACAGGCTCTCTACCTCCCGCACCTTATCGTGGGCACACGGCTGTCCGTGCAGCACAACTCGGACATGTTCGGTTCGCAGGAATTCCTGTATTGCCTGAGAAGAAAGGCAAAGAGCACATCTCTACAGGATCAGCCATTGTCAGCACCCCCCCCCCGCCCCTCATCAATTCAAATTAAATCATTGGGTAATAATAAAGTTGACCCCACTATATGAATTATGGCCCCCCTCATACCCCTGGCCATTCTCTACCTCAGACCAGGACAAAAGCCACCCCACAAGGCTATTTTTACTGGCCCACACGATCATTAAAATAATAATCATTTTTAAAAAAGGCAAGGTTTGCTGCTTTTCATGTCAAGTCCTCTGAATAAATGCAAATATAATTTATACTTCAACACATGCATGCATAAAGAGCCTCTCCAAAAAACAGAACAATTGATTTTTCAGAAAGAATGGATGCAAAAATGCTTTTTTACGCGGATTAGTTGGGCCGTCATTTTCATAAGTTATGTTTAATATGTGAAATTGACTGGTCCTGTTTATTTCTGCTTGCATTGTAAAAAGGGCAAAGTAATTGGGAACAAGTCTTCTATTCTGAGATTCATGGGATGTAAAAAATGATCATTAAAAGTGGCCTTTGCTGACATACAAAAGCTCAGATTTGGCCCTCTCCAGAAAATAACTGGTCTTTGGCTTGTCTCAGCGGTGGAAGAGCTTACCAGTTGCTAAGGGAACAGACATGACCGTAGCTGAGTGCCAGGCCGTACCTGCAGCAAAGACACAGAAGGCAGGGACTTTAAAGAAGATACATATGACGTGCCAGCAGGGGGCGCCTCTCCATGAAAGCATATCACATTAGGTCCCCAACCCAGTCCAATCCAATCATATTCCAAAGTTTTTAAGGCCCCTGTCACTTAGGGGCCCTTGGAATCGCCCTAACATTGCCCCACCCCCCTTAACATGATTAGTCTGCCATCTGAGTCTGTGAGCTGACACACCTGTCCATCCGTCCACGTCTCTTGATTTATGAAAGATACTTTAATGTACACAGAGTTGAGATTATGTGGATTATCTGTCATCGTGAAAAGGCAGGGTTTTCATTACACACCTGATGAAAATGGGTGAAACACACTTAATCTGTTAGTATCACAGACGGGAGTGAGCAACACTTTTTCCAGATCAAATAAGGACATATTTAGAGAAAATGCTGTACTTTTAATTTGTTTTGCTCTTATTGGTCAAAGGTTTGCGGCGAAAATCCCTAAGAACACAGCTGTTCTTCAAAAGAACTGAAACCAATTCTGGTGACCAGGCACACCCAGTATATTACCAGCGTATTGGAGTTAGAGAATTAATGAATTTTCAACACCTCCTGTTTCGAAAAGCAAACACCTTTACTACACAACTACATTAGTGACTCGTCATAGAGGGTTGTGGTTTACGATGTCAGAGGTGAGCAGACTCCGTGTAAGACTGGCAGACTCGAATCACTGAAGAGGACTGAAATCAGAAGGAAAACTGTACCCAAGTCTTACTGCACTCTACGAGTTTTCCTGACAACAATTTTCATATACTAGTGATGTTATAGAAGACTAGTAAGGACTCTTCAATCACTACCAGTAATATTTAAGCGTCTAATGTTGAAACATGTAACACAAATGTTCTCTTACTTTGTTATTACTGAACATATTTATTCCATTTTTAGATGAATAGATTCAAAGAATTAATGACTGTAACTATGGGTCTTGGAGTCTGGAGGTAACACCTTATATGCTCAGATTAGCATGTGGTATGAAGCACAGTAAATTTTTGTGGCAATCGTGTTGCATAAACCTGTATTTGTGTTTGACAGGGGCAGGGATGGATCTGTGCCATATTGTGGGTGTGTTTGTTTTTACTTGGTGGGGCATCTAGAAACAGAATAAGCACAGTAACACAATCTCAACCCACTCAGGTATTGATAACACTTCTGGCAATTTGCTTCAATCCATAAAAAGAATATCAGTGTACTTCTGGATACAACTATACACTTTGTGATGAACTGAAAGTGATGCTATTTATCAAAGGCGTCTGTAGCAGTTTTCTGGTGTAAATACGACCTGCAGCTTTTGACTCCTGCGGTTTACACAGGTGATAAGTTTTCCCTAGAAAATCATACAAGTGATCATGCAGCTTTTCACTGTGTAGCCTGCAACACACATCTGTCTGAGACTTATATTCTTTTTCATAAATAAAAGTGAACTATTTTTTTCTATTTTCAGGCTTAAAAGTTCTGTAACAATCATAGCTGTCAAGTCTCCCGTTTTGGCCGGGAAACTACCGTATTTTACCCCTCTTTCCCGCCGTCCTCCCGTATTAGTATTTTCCCGTAAATCTCCCGTATTACAATATCATTAAAAAATTCCTCTGCCTCTCCAAACCGAACTGCCAGTAGCCTCGCGAGACCTACCACCTGCAGTAGCCTGCAGGTCATTTACAACATTAACCAGGTCATAAATGCGGAGGTTAAAATGGCAATGCCAAAAACAACGTTACTTTCACCTTCCGTGACGACTTCAACAAGGATACAAAGTCTGCAACAAATCTGTATAATAAGTCATTAGTGAATGCCAGAGAGCCACATGAGTGAACATGAGAAGTTTAAAGGAAATGTGTAATGAAAATAAAATGTAAATGACAAGTGGTTATTTTAGATTTCTTGTAGACCTGTCTTAAAATGTAAGGGATACTGGAGCTTGGTTGGGGTGGTGGGATGGCTCGCGGTGGGCGCCGGAAAGTTTCCCTTATTTTCAAATCCAAAACTTGACAGGTATGGTAACAATGTCCTCCTGGCATCTGTCTCACAAATCCTGGCCTCGGTTCTTTGAACGACTGCCATCATTTGTGTTCTGAATAGAATTTACGTCTTGTTTTATGGCTGTGTATGAAGTTATCACACTGAATTATTTCCACGCAAAGTTCATATTTAAAGTTACAGCACTGAAAAGCAAGTGAATTAATGAGCTGCGAAAATTATTTTTATCATTTTTTTCAATATTACTTTTCTGAATCCTAAAATATATAGTGTAGGAGAACATATTCAGTGCACCTGGCACACATAATGCCCGGGGATATCTCCATCCAAAGCCACACTCTTGTCATACTGAACTGACCAGATACCTAATTATAGATGGCTGGAACACACACTGTGAAATAAAAGCAAATCAAAAACTAAGAAGTGAATGTGACTTACACTGCCCAAGACCCAATGAAGGACACCACTGACACAGTGATGGGTATGAAGATCCAGTAAACCATGACTTGTCGAGGACAGGGTTGAGAAGCAAGAGAGTCTCTGAAGATCAGAGTGAAGATGCAGGCGTGGGAGACCCAACTTCCTGTAGACCACTGATAAGATGCTTCTTCACGTCACGGAGCTATAACAGAGCCGTCTCCATCAGGCCACACTTCCCCGTAACGTGCCTTTCTTGTCTCCTGTCGTTTTTAGAAATGTCACAATGGAAATTATTTGTGATTCTTCTAGAAGCCCTCATACCTGGCAGTCAGGTCGACTCGTCTCCTCCGCCTGCATTCCTCCCCTTTCACGTCAGACCTCTGGAAGCCCTGGGTTCTTTATAGCCACTCCCTGCACCAAACCTGTCTCAGGCTGGAAGACAAGAGGGGAAAAGATTCAATACGCTGTATCAGTGTTTGTTTAAGCCCCAGTTCCTGGAGGCTCCTTGCCAGCAAGCCTGCTTAACCCTTCCTATACTTCCTGTCTTGCTGCATGGATATTCACTATTCAGGGTGAAAATGACCACATCCTCAAATTTTCAAATTTGAAGCCTTTAATTATTTTTTTAAAGTGATGGTTTGCTATATTAGTTCTATGTTAAATGACGTTTGGCTTGTATAAATCACAGTTGTTGTTTTTTTGTTTTGTAGTATTGTCAGTACTCTTATAAGGCTCTTATATAGTAGGGTGTACACTTAGGACAGTACTACACCACTCCACCTGCAGAGGGACTGAGACACCTACCAGGCTGGGTCTTCTGTATAAGCAGTGTGTAAATTTCGTTCGACAGCATTGCTCATCCTGCAAAAGGCGTTATATCAATTAAAATACAATTTTTAATATAACCCATATTAATATAATTATACAACCAATATTAATTTAATTATAATAAAATATACATTTCAGCTATTGCTTAATTCACGGTAGATGAAAATTTGAGACCAAAAGGGCCCCAAGCTGTTTCAAAGAACACACTGAAAGTGTATAAGAAAGAAAGAAAGAAAGAAAGAAAAAGAAAAATGCTTAATCGCTTTGTAACCCAGACATTCCAGCTTGGACCGGTTTATTTCAGGTGACCGGTGGGTTATAGCAAACATCTAAGAAAGTGAAATGAAATCTACTGGCTCAAGTTTAAATGTAAATGACAGCATACACAAGCATACATCGTACTACGATGTAGTGAAATGTTTTTCCACCAGCTTCCAAAATTGTTTGAGAGTAGAAAGATAGTAAAATATAGTATAAAAGACTGAATAAGATTAAAAAGTAAACAATAAAAAGAGCTATGTTTGTCACCATATTTACGCACTTGGTGGCACAATACACCCAATCAAAAAAAATTGTGCGGAAAAAAAAACTATTAGAATAAGGAACGTATTTATATTATAGAAACGAAACGATCGACACAAAACCGACACAGAAACGAAAGGGTAGACTGCTTTATTTAACACTCTCTAGACTTTTACCCCTATACCAGTCAACTGATACTTCTTTGCTCTAATGAATAATATTACGTGTTAAGATATAATCTTAAAGCATTTAGTTATTTAAATAGTGAAGCATCACAGTGCGATCAGTCCCCCGCTCTTCCCACGTGTATAAGCCAACCGCAGCGTTAACCGTCAAGGTGATGAAACCAATGTGAACGCGCCCGAAGACTCTGCTATCACGTGACCTTGCGTGCGCCCGCATCGGGAACGCGCCCGCCTGAGGTGGCGGTCGGCGTGCTAGGCAGAACCAGCTGAAATGGCGGCGACCAGAACATGGAGGTTTCCCTATATTTCGCTGCTGCGCGCCCTCCCGCATTTTACAAGGTGCTGTGTCCGGGTTTCCTCGATTTCACCGCCTGTGTTTCTTGCTCACCTACCGCTTACGTTTCCTAGCTGAGCCGCTAGTTCGCGTGTACGGGGGCGGTGTGGGGTAGCCTATGAAGAAGGCTTTCGGCTAATTGGCAGGGTCATTTCTGGTGATGTTTAGAGGGAGTATGGCGGGGTAATCCACGCCCCCGTCTGGTGGTAATGTCGTCGGTATCTCCCACAGGTCTTTAGCCCTGTTTAAGCACCCCCCCTACCCCAGGTGCGCCGTACAGAGCTGCACCAAATCACTGCTGCAGTGTAGGGCCGCTGTCAGCCTACTGCCAGGTAATCTGGGATCTTGCAGCCGTGCAACCATGTGTGCAATGATCGAAAGAAAAGTGATGCTTATCACATTATCGTGTAATCTGCTCTGAGGTGGGAATGCTAGTTTCCAGAGTAAGAATTCAAATTGAAGGGCGTAAGTTAAAATGGTTCTGACCCACCTTTTTCCATACACATATACCTGTATACGTAAGGGTGAGAGACAGGAGTCTGCCTTAACTTCCATTACACGGGAAGTTAAGCTGAGTAATTTTGTAAGTATTCCAAGTTGGAAAATTTCCTTGAGAATGAACAGGAATTAACTGGAAATTTGAGAATTTATACAATCTGTATCATATGCAAACATAAATATAAACTTTTTTGTCAGAAGCAGACATGCATATGAACATTTCTAATACAAATTTTAAAAATGACATTTCTGACTTTGAAATTCAACTGAATTTGCTTTAAAACTTATTTTAACCAATATTATGCTGCAAGATATTTTTTAAACTACATTTAAGTTCCTTGTTATAGGCTAACCTATATTTTGCAAATTACCGGTTTATTCACATTAATTCCCATATATTCCCATGGAATGTTTCCAACTTTGATAGTTCCAGAAATTTTGAAACCCTGTTTTCCAATGACTGTTATCCTAGAGAAAATGCTGCTAACCACATTTCATCAACATGGTTGAGTCTGCATGAGAGACCACATGGGTGTCGCTTTAGGTCAGTATGAAGCTATGCGTTTTTGTGATTGGTCCGTTTTAGTGCGGCGGCTGTATGTTCAGACGCAGGACACGCCCAATCCCAGGAGCCTGAAATTCATGCCTGGCAGAGCTGTCATGGGCACCGGGACGTTGAGCTTCCCCAGTGTCAGTCATGCCAAGAGCTCACCGCTGGCCAGGTCAGCATCTTCACTGAACCCTGCCATCTCCTCGACTGCAGGTGTGCCAGTGTTGACCAGACTCTTATGTGTTTTAACAGTGAGATTTTTAAGGTGGAGGGAGTGAAGGCAGTGTTCTTCGGTCCTGACTTCATCACAGTGACAAAGGTACCTTTCCTGAATGGACAGCCTTTGACATACTAGTGTGAATTAATAGATCAGGACCAGACAGCCAGGGTACACAGCACAGCAAATTTGGGGTGGCTGTGTTGCCTGTGGGAGTTTTACTAATATAAAAATGTTCTGAGGGCAGAACGAAAAATGATTGGTTCTGAGAGATGATCAGTTGGCTTCACATCTGACCAAGATCTGATTGGGTATCATACTGAACCAATCATTTTTCACTCCTCCCTCAGAACATAAAACTCCCATGAGCGATTGGCTCTGTGTATGATACCAGATATTACTTTAGTATAACTAGGACTGAAGGAAAACAAGTATGCAGTCTTAAGGGGCCGGTAATTGAGGTTTTCAGGTTTTTATTGTTAAATGTGTTCTGAGAAACAGTGAAATCTTCATGCCGCAGTTACAGGGAAAGGGACAGGTTTGGGTGGGAGGACAATAACTCAAACAGCAGTGCAATAAGAGAAAAGACAGTATAGGAAGTGAATAAATAGGTGGTGCATCAGGGAAGGATGTGCAAATAACTGCAGAGGTAGTGCAGTAATAAGGCAGAGGAGAGGTGAAAGATCAGGCTCATCAGCTGTCATGGCCTGGCCCCCATTCTTCAGTTATAGGCTGTGTTTTTATCGTATAACTTAAGATTCCTTCTTTGAGTTTCTGTAGATAATGTCAAAGAATGTTGCAGAATTCAGCTGAGCATTTAAAGCAGCGTGAAGACTTCATGAGTTTAATGTGTGGGGCCGTGGTTGTTCTGTTTGCAGAGGGACGATGATGTGCAATGGGCCGACATCAGGCGTGGCGTCATCGGGGCTGTGACGGAATTCTTCCAGAGCGGAAGCCCCATAACTACGGGGGAGACAGACACACACAGCGGTATGCGGTAACCTGGAAGGCTGAACTAAGTAAACAGACCCTACAGCTGAAAGCACAAAGCTAAATGTCAATTAAGATTCACCCTGTCAGTTCTCAGTGACATTCTGTAAACTAATCATGAGCTGTTCTAACAGTGTGAAAGTGTGATGAACCAAGCCGCCATTTTATGTGGAATGTGAAATATTTGGATCGCTCAGGTTCATGAATGAGGTTCAGTTAGACTGTGAGGTCGTCATGGTTTTTACCATCTTGAGCCACATACTGTTTACATTGGTTTCCACACTGTGAGGCTGTCTTTACCATCTCAGGCAGGTGGAATGAAAAAGTCAGTACTTAAGAAAACTCTGAGTAACATCCCTGACACAAGGCTCATCATCATGGATGTTTTTTTTTTTTAATAAATGCTGACAAAGACTTTACAGTTACACAAAATACAAATGAAGATGCTAAATTTTTAACTGATGAGTAGTCAATACAATATATAACATAGGTGTGATTATACCCAAAAATCCAACACAACTGACACAAAATGACAACTGCAAATCCACGTTTTGGAGCCTGGATTTCTGTTGTTTCTGCAGATGGCCACGATCCATTTGCTTTTCTTTTCTTTAGTTTTCGGTAGTCTGTAAAACAATGGCAACAATTTCTTGTTAAATCGATTTGTACAATCAGTCACAACTATGACAGCGTATTACTACCACCATGATAAAATAAAATTGCCCATTTTCTCCTTTTTCTTATCTTGTGATAATGAGAAACTGGGCAAATTTAGTTCTATCATGGTGGCAGCAATACACTGCCATATATAGCAGCCCTTTCCAACTTTAGTTGTATTTTTGTGGCATTCAAGCTGAACGCTAACGCTGCCACTCAGTGTATTTGCCACTCACTGGCTATGAGCACAGTGACTCCTGTCTTCTGTGACATCATGTGCATACCCTCTATTACAGGGGTGGGCAATCTTATCCTCAAAAGGCCGGTGTGTATGCAGGTTTTTTGGATAACCTGTAGGTCAAACCCAGGTGTGAGAACTCTTCAGCCAATCAGTCCTCTAATTAGTAATCTAATTAGGGAATTGTAGTGAAAACCCGCATACACACTAGCCCTTTGCGGATAAGATTGTCCACCCCTGCTCTATTTGATTGGATTGTATTATCTTTATTATCCAAAAGGGACAATTTGGTTTGCAGACAGCAGTGAACACAACCAACACACACAAAAAATTACGTAAATAAATAAAGACATAAATACACATACACAATAGATGACCTTATACTGCAATTGCAATAACATATAGAAAAATAAAATCGATTTGTCCTTGTTAAAACATATATATCCAGTAGCCAGTGGGCCTATAACTTATTTAAAACCCAATAGCTGACGGAACAAATGATTTCAGGTACCTGTTTGATCTGGTCCTCCCAGAAAAAAAATGTACATTCTTCCTGATGGCAGAAGACAAAATCTCTGCCTGAAGAGGGTGTTGAGTTTGTGCCAGAATGACCTTTGCTCTCTGAATGACTCTAAACATGGCCAAGATTATTCAGGTTAGTGCCAATAGTCTCCTGGCGCTAACTTGAAGGATAATTGGAAGGATAGTATTCAATGTTGACTATATGGGGGGCAACATAGTTGTGACAATTGTTTGGGGGGCACCTAACAGGCAGTGTGTACTGTCATGTTCTCTACATCGCAGCTCCTTTGGAAGAGGATGAAGATGAAGTGGTGTCTATGATCAAAGAGCTGCTGGACACCAGGATCAGGTATAGCTAATATGGAACCTGCATTTGAAGTTTCGTTGTTTTGAGGTCAGGCCTTTCCTGTTTCATACACAAATACTGTGTCGTTATGAGGCACATCATCCTTTTGGGAAGAGACATGAGGTACCATTCCTTAGTACCAAGTCTGAGTTAAAAAGCTTGGGAACTGTATACACAGGGACATTATGTTTGCAGATGTGTGCAAAATACCTCAATTAAGCCTCTCAGAGTGACTGGGGGTGTGACTGTATCAGTGTCCCCGGATCAGACAAAGCAGAGCCCAGTCCCTGACAGCAACACTAATCTTTGAGATGATAACTGTACTGCGTTACCTCCAGGCCCACAGTGCAGGAGGATGGCGGTGATGTCATCTTCAAGGGCTTTGAGGACGGCACGGTGCGGCTCAAACTACTGGGCTCCTGCACGGGCTGCCCCAGCTCCACGCGGACGCTGAAAAGCGGCATCGAGAACATGCTGCAGTTCTACATCCCCGAGGTGGACCACGTGGAGCAGGTTAGGCCCACAGCGTCTGCATCACCAGCCGTGGCCCCGTTCAGTCTTTGGCTACAGCTCTTTCACCTGCTGCCTGTTTTTAGGTGGAGGATGAAGTGGATGAAATCAGCAACAAAGTGTTCAGCGATCTGGAGCGCAAGTTAAACGACTCGTAGGCTGCTGCTGGACCCTCACACCTTTATTTTTTCCCTCGAAAAGAGGACTGCCGCGATCTTGCTGTTTATGTTGCACATATTTTGGTTGTGGACTGACCCCCCCCCCCCCCCGCCTGGTGCCTTGTGCTGCCCTTTTTGTGGTACAGCTACTCCCAGACTCCCCCTGGACCCTGAGCAGGATAAGCAGTTGGAAGGTGACTAAATGTTACATGTAAGATAGCATCTGAGGTGAATGTACTTGAAATATGTTGTATATATTGCTAAATGTATTCTTAAAGCCTTTGTTTGCACTGGATACTGTAACAGCATATGTAAAAAAAAAAAAAAAGTTGATTTAAATAAATTAACTTGGAATGACTAAATTAAAATCTTGTTAATAGGGCTGAGTGATACAGCATTTTTTTTCCATGTCAGTCGGTATGGATATTTACCATGATATAATTCAGTCTTTATTTCTTTACTTGAAGGCTCCATTTTGCTTAAAATTTCCTTAGGATTCCCATTCAATTCAATTCAACGTATTCTTATATAGCTCCTTTCACAAGAGTCGTCCACAGGCACTTTTCCATGAGTGTGTGACACATTGCAACATCACTAAGACTGAATAATACAAAAACAGGGGGGAAAAGACAAATGAAAGGAAGAAAGCCAGATGACAATGGAGGAGAGGAACCAAAAACTCCCACGCAGAGAGAAAAAAAACCTCTGGGGGTCCGAGGTCAACTGGCTGCCCGACCCCCCCCTGGGTATGATAGCATTATATAAAAAGACAGAATGGGCCTGCATGCTAAAAGCAAGGTGTGGACTGTAGTCAAGGTCAAAGTCCATCAATGAGTCAGTTCTCCATGCCGGGCTGCGTGGGGTGGCAGATTTGAAGTCTGCATCCACGATGTTACAGTTTGTAACACATCTATATTGTCACACTTCTGTGGGACTGAACCAGGCCTCCAGCTCAGATTGTGCCCCGGTCACCATCCGGATATGTGGGAAGTAAAGCAGAAAGCATGGATGGTCAGAACATTTATAGACACCAATGGAGGAGCATAGTAGATAAGAATGGCAGATTCAGAACATGAAGAAGACTACATTGAATGAACTGCAAACTGAAATCTTATTTTAATGAATGGATCACACAAAAGGGTGGAACAGTGCACAGTCGTTAGGACTGTTGCCCCATGACTCTGACACCTCTTTTGAGTCTCCACTGTGATTGGTTGGTGCCCCATTCTGGGTAGTTTCCTGCCTTGTGCCCATTGGCTCCTGAATAGGACAAGTGGTTACAGAAAATGGAGAGATGGAAAAATCACACAAAAAATTATTTTATTTGTTGTAGGGTGGCGCTACCATAGTTTTGATTTTTTTAATTAAATTTTTATATTTTCAGTTTTCATTTGATATCCAGTCTGTTAGTTTTCAGTGTAGTTCTATTAGTTTTTGTATATTTCTATTTGGTGTTTACAGTTTACAATACACAGCACCACTCTGTTGTGCGTCGGACTTTAAATTGCCAAAGTACTTCCACACAATAGCTTTTTTTAAAAAAAAAAAAAACGTCATGGCTGCTGTCACATTCTTCACCTGAAGTTTCCTCTGAATGGGCTCTAATGTTTGCAATGACTCAAGCAGGCCTTCAATACCAAGACACAGACAGTAGCCAGTAATGTGCTCTGTTCTCAGTCAAACTTTCCGTGCGATTTTTCAGAATATGGTGTTCGTTCTTAGAAGAAAGCTATCATATGATTGGTTGGAATTGTGTTCATTGCTGTGATGTCATAAGTTGATGTGAAAGGGCATAAGTTTGGGTTGAGTTGGGGGGGGGGGGGGGGAGGTCTCCACCCATTTAAAGGCTCCAGGGGGTTGTATTGGCTGGTTTTTGACTATTGGGGGGTTACCCCCATGCTGATGTGTGCTATTAAGCAATGTACCGTATCAACAGTTTATCAAAGTTTCTAATTTTCTAACATTTAAATATGACAATAAGTTGATATATTGTCTGTATCAGGGGTAGGCAGCCCTGATCCTCCAGTGCCGGTATCCAGCAGGTTTTCTATCCTACCTGATGAGTTACTATCTGCCTGAGATCAGATGTGGTTCATCAGAAACCAGGTAGGATGGAAAACATGCAACAGAACCAAGACCTTCGATTTGTTGGCCTCACCTGCTCTAGTTGCTTGGACTCACCTTCAGTTACCTCTCTAAACCAATCATTTTTTGTTCCACCCTCGAAATATTTTTCTGTAAGTAAAAGTCCTATGAGCTTGATGTTCAGTGAGTCACACTAGAATCAATGGCTGCTTATGTCCAGTACACATTTATCCATAGAACCATAGTTTCTAAAAACTAGGATATTTGTTTATCCAAACACCAAGCGTTTAAAGTATGTTTTCAAACACAATTTTATCTTCAGCGCAGAATAGATTTTGAGACGTTGAAATATCCAAATGTACAACAAAATGATGCAGATTTCCATCCAAATGCATCTCATTAATTAATGCCTGATATGCACGACCCACAGCAACCCATTCCAATGTCTACGGAGGGCGCTGCAAGGCCACCCCACCGAGATGGGGAAAGCTGGGCTTGATGCTCCCAGGGGGGGGACGATGCAATTCAGAGGTCATCAACCTGTCAGTGCACGGACAAACGTATTCACGGCAAAATGTTTTGCCTAAGAAAAAACTGCAGGTTCGTTTTTAAATATGTTTCTGGTCAAAACTGCATTTTGAACAAAATATCCGTTAGAATTTGGCATGATGTTGACCTCCGACCCAGTCTAAAATTCGTCATATCCTCCCTAACTTTCTCATAATTTGCAAGTGCATTTGTGGCAAGTTATAGTCAAGTTTCGTAATGAAAATGGTTCAGTCCACAATTGCAGACAGGTCAACCACAATGCCCCCCCCCGTGTGTTTAGATCTAAGGTCTAAATATATTCCAAGACGATCTACACGTTACGCAATTCCCCATGCGTCAGCCATATTGTGCGCAATACCAACCATGGAGATATGGTAGGGTCTCTTGAGGAAACAGTAACTTCACATGATATATTTTGTTTAAGCACACCAAAAACCGCGGTGCAGAGTAATAATAAAACAAACGACACGCATGAAAACGTTCAAACACAAAAACCTACAGCACTCAACCCCCAAAAGAAGTCCTACGCATGCGCACAACGCTACCTCAACAGTTCTGACGCATGTGCACTACTCAGCTTTAATGTAACCTTAACGCATGCGCACCAACAGTGTTCTCCGTGTATCCGCCGGTCCGTCTTCGGAGAGTTAAGGTAGGGGATCGTAGTATTAAATATTGGTAAAATGGTTGAATGCAGTGCTTTGGTGAAGTTCAGAAATACGTTGTCATTTTGTTTGTTATAGGAAACGCAGAACAATATGGTGGAAAATCTTGAGTCGGTAATCAAGCTTGGCTCTCTGGGTATCTGTTAGCTCGGGCCTGTCCTACACTGCATGAAAACAAAACAAGTCCGTCATGATCGATGGTCCCAGCTAATCTCCACTGGCACAAAATGATGGCTGCCGGGACAGCATGTCTACAGTCTGTCGTCTCCTATTATACAGCTGTGAAGGATCTGAAATCCGTAGTGAATTCATATTACTGTATGCCCAACCATGCATACAATCTGGTTATTTTGCCAGCTAACTTAAGTAAACGTGTTATGTAATCTTACACGAAAAATGGGCCGGACTGGAAAATGAACATCGCTACGCCTGTTTAACATGTTTATGTCGCAGCTGCACGTGACGAACTTGCTCCTGACCACGGTTATGGGTGAATGTGTGAATGTTTCGGTGATCTTTTCCTGATAGACCGCACAGGTGTCGTCGTTAGGAAGCCGAAGCACGGAAGGCTGTGATGGCTCAGTTTGGGGGACAGAAGAACCCACCGTGGGCAGCTCAATTCGCCGCGACGGCCGTATCACAGCCAGGACACTCGGGGCAGCCGCTGGACCTTAACAGTCTGCACTGTCAGTACACGGATGCTGTCCTTTGCTCATTTTGCCCACGCTTCATTGTGCATCATACGAATTTGGCTCAGACTGACCGACGTGGGTGTTTTTCACAGCATTGGGTGTCCAGCAGCCATCTCTCCTGGGCGCCTCCCCGTCTATGTACTCCCAGCAATCGGCTCTGGCTGCTGCCTCGCTCAGCTCGCAGTCTGCTGCCAACTACCAGCTGTCCCAGCAGACTGCCACCCTGCAGCAGCAAGCGGCCGCAGCGGCCGCCGCCCTACAGCAGGTGAGAAGGATGGACGATAGTCTGCAGGGGTCCCGTCTCTCTATTGGCTGCCGTCCTGTCATTGTGTGTATCTTGTTTTCGTGAATCCTCCCCAGTGGGCATGTGATATCATGGGTGACAGTGGATTTCAGTAGCACCTTGTCTGTTCCTTTCAGTCGCAGATCAACACAGCCTTGCAGCAGTATCAGCAGCAGCCCCAGCCCCCTCCACCGCAGCAGACCCTGTACAATGTCCCTCACCAGGTAGCGTGTTCGTGTTGCACAGATGCATTATGGGAAGAGGGAATAGCGAGTGCCGCTGCATGCAGATGCATTTCTTCAATTTATCCCAAGAGGTGTAGGTGGGCTGTTTTTTATACATTGCCCTATGAGTGTGTGTGCCCTGCAGTGGGCTGGCATCTTGCCCAGCATGGCCAGCCACAGATTCCAGATTTTCTATGAGCCTGCACTGAATACATGGGGAGTGTGGCTCAGCCGGTTAGGACACTCTGCCTATAATCGGAAGGTTGCTCCTTCAAATCCCAGAGTCAGCAGAGTGTTTTGACTGTCCTTAAGGGCCTTAATCCCCCAATTGCTCAGTTGTACATTGCTTTGGATGAAAGTGAATGCTAAATAAAGTTGAACCTGCAGTGTTTATGGAAAAAGGATGGATCATGTTCTATAGCATGAAAATCTGTACTGAGCGATGCAGTGCTTAGATTGACTGCTGCTAGAGGCCCGGGACCTGCAGGGTGCCGGCGTGGGGACTGGCTGTGACGTTCTGCCTGTCTGTCTGCCTGTCTGTCTGTCTCTCCCCTGTCCCAGATGCCCCAGCCTCAGCCCGGCCTGCTCTCTCAGGTAACTGCGAGACCGCCGACACATTTCTGCAGCAGACAGCCCCCTGTGTGTGTGCGTGTGCGTGACCGGTGTGTGTTTGCAGCCCCCGGTGGCTCTGCCCAGCCCCCAGCCGGCCGCGCAGATCACCGTGTCGTACCCGACGCCGCGCTCTAGTCACCAGCAGCAGCCGCAGCCGCAGAAGCAGCGCGTGTTCACCGGCGTAGTCAGCAAGCTGCACGACACCTTCGGCTTCGTAGACGAGGATGTCTTCTTCCAGCTCAGGTAGGGGGCGACCGGCGGGAGGGAGCCGTGCACGGGGGCTGCCTTCCGCAATCGTGAGAACGGCACGAAGCAGCATGTGTTTCTGAAAGACGCTTTACGTATCTGTTTATTTTTGTGTGGCTCATTTATTGTAGTGTTACAGGTTTTTTTTTGGTATTGCAGTTTATTACAGTGTAACTGGTGTATTTTGGAACAGCCAGATTATTTCAGTGTCGCTAGTTTATTTTGGTACAGCTGGTTTATTTTGGTATGGTAATTTCTTAGTGTCGTGGTTTATTTTCGTACAGCTAGTTTGATACAGTGTGACTATTTTTGTACGGGTAATTTGTTACAGTTTCACTGCGTTATGTTGCCATGGAGAGTTTCTCACAGTGTCACTGGGTAGCGCCGTTGCCTGCTTGCCTGTGGTTGCTGTCCCCTGATGGCCGGGCTGCACTCTGACTCTGCACCACTTTGCAGTGCGGTGAAGGGAAAGACACCCCAGGTGGGGGACCGGGTGCTGGTGGAGGCCGTGTACAATCCTAACATGCCCTTCAAGTGGAACGCCCAGCGGATCCAGACGCTGCCTCAGCTGGCCAGCCAAACTGTGAGTGCACGCTGACGTCTGGAGACGCAGACCGCCATGTTCGGAGGAATGGTGTCCCTGGCCTGTCTGTGATAGGCTGAGCTCCTAAGCCCCCCCCCCCTTCTGTTACAGAACCAGCCCCCTGGACCTGCCATGATGAAACCTGGGCCTAGCATGCTGCAGTCTTTGCCCCCGCCCACCGCCTTCAGTGTCCCCACCCAGGCTCCGCCCCCCTCGCTTCTGCAGGCCCAGATCTCGGCGGCAACCCTCGCCCCACTGCTGCAGACCCCCCCGCAGCCCCTGCTGCCACAGCCCCCCTCCAAAGGTGAGGAGCCGTTCCATTCCCGGGGGCTCCGGCTATAGCTCTGGGTGGTCGTAATAGCTGTGTCTTTGTGCCCCAGATGCCGTGTTCTCTGGGGGGCTGCTCCAGCCGCCGGTCAGGATGATGCCCCAGCAGCAGCCGGTACGGCGCATGGACCCCGGGCCCCGCTTTCCCGGTCGTAACGACCGGCCCGAGCTCATCCTCCGGAAGGACGACCGCAGGTGGGTCGGGATCGGCTAATGGGGCTGGGAGTTGAACCGTGTTCTGGGCGGGACTCCTGCTAACGGCCCGTCTTTGCAGCCGAGAGCGGGACCGTGAGCGCAGACGCTCCCGAGAGAGGACCCCGACACGCAAGCGCTCGCGTGACCGCTCCCCACGCCGTGAGCGCTCCCCTCGGCGCCCCCGTCGGGCCACTCCGCGCTACACCGTGCAGTTTTCCAAGTTCTCCCTGGATGGGTGAGTTTACTTGAACCTCAGGTGCCTCCCAGTCGCTCCCCACTGCTCCCTCCTGACCTGCCCCCCCCCCTCCCCCCCCCAGGCGCAGCTGCGACATGATGGAACTGCGCAGGCGCTATCAGAGCCTGTACATCCCCAGCGATTTCTTCAACGCCGAGTTCACCTGGGTGGATGCGTTCCCCCTGTCCCGACCCTTCCAGTTTGGCAACTACTGCAATTTTCACATCATGCACAAGGAGGTGGATTCCCTGGTGAAAAACACAGCGGTGCTGGAGCCACCAGACGCCAACCACAGTTACAGCGCTAAGGTGGGCCTGCTGGCCTGAGTGAGTGTGTTCGTGTGCTTCTGAAGGTGAGCATGTTAGCCTGCACTGACCTGCCGTCTGATCACCCCCCCCCCCCAGGTCATGCTGCTGGCCACCCCCAGCATGGATGAGCTGTACCACAAGTCTTGCGCCCTGGCTGAAGACCCCCCAGAGCTCCGAGACTCCTTCCAGCACCCGGCTCGCCTCATCAAGGTAGGCCTCATTCTGGCAATCCATCCACGCGGCCGCACGGGGGGGTGCCCTGCTGACCGCTCTGCTGCTGTGCCGCAGTTTCTGGTGGGCATGAGAGGCAAAGACGAGGCCATGGCCATCGGGGGGCACTGGTCGCCCTCGCTGGACGGGGCCGACCCCGAGAACGACGCCTCTGTGCTCATCAAGACGGCGATACGTTGTTGTAAGGCTCTGACAGGCATTGACCTGAGTTTATGTACGCAGTGGTAAGTCCTGCCGCACGCCGGCCCCCCTGCCGTGTCCACGCCGCGTTTTCAGTGCTGCACGGACCCCAGCTTCCTCCTCCACCTCCTCTCCTCTCCTCTGCTCTCCGGACGCCTCCTTGTTTTCAGTTGTCCACCCTTGTACCCCGCGTGCAGCCGTGTGTCCGACGCTCAGGCCGCAGAACGAGGAGCAGCGTCACCCCCCCTGTGTCCCCCCTCCCCTCCCCTCGTCCTCCTACCATGTTAAATATCTTACATATTTAACTGGGCCTCACTGTGTCTCTGGGTTGCCTCATGCAGATGGGGAGGGGGGGGGGGTTACTGTGTCTGAAGCTCTTGGTCTGGGCCTTGGTCTGCTGTTTACAGCTGTGATTGGTTGATGTGATCCCTTTGGGGGGAGGGGTGGGCGGGCCAGGGCCTTGTAGACGAGCGCTGACGGACGCGGGGGGCAGGCTCTGGGGCACTGTGTAGCCTATGGATTTAGGCCTTTTCAATGCTTGACAGATGTTTCTTTCCAATGCGCTTCTTCCTTTGCGACAGGTATCGTTTTGCAGAGATTCGCTATCACCGCCCTGAGGAGACACACAAGGGCCGGACAGTGGGCGCACATGTGGAGACAGTGGTTTTATTTCTCCCGGATGTTTGGCATTGTCTTCCTACCCGCTCAGAGTGGGAGGGGCTGTCCCGGGGCCTCAAGGAGCAGCTGGCAGAGAAACTCGTGGCTGAACGAAAGGAAGCAGATGGAGAACAGGCACTGAGCGCTAATCCTGTCTTCTCATTTCCGCTTCTCACAGGCACAGGAAAACAAACACAAACAGACAAGTATCACAGACA